GGAAGAATTCGTTAGTGAGGGAGCATGGGGTAAAAGATGATATGGTATTTCAACAAGCACTTTTGATTGCCCTCGCAAATCAATTTTGTGGGTTCACAATTGAGACTCCGACTAAAATGGCACAAATCACGGAAACGTTACCCAACATAATCAAGATGCAAGCAGAGAATGATTTAGTCGATGTGATAGGTCTTGCAGAGACTCAAGCAAAACAATTACTTCAAGCGACAAAACACACGCAAATTTCAGTCAAAGAAAAGTCGCTTCAGCGTCGCATCAAAAAGAACATCACATACTTCACGCAGAATTTATTGATCGACTTCTGCATCGAACATGGCTATTTTTTCAATTCAATTTATTCAAAGAAGAGTCAGAAGACTTTTCAAGTCGAACGAGTACAGGAAATCTTCTTCGGCAGTACCTTCTTGATGCGGAAGAATACAATACAGAGTGTAGGGGGGTGTGTCAATGAATATCTCCTCACCATTTCACATGGGAAAACTGTTTTTCTCAGGAAGAATGACGACAAAATCAAAGAAATCCTCGAAAAGAATATCCCACGTATGGGGTTTTTATGATATAATGTAATTCGTGAAGACTTGTTCCAAAACCCAAGTTTTTCTCCAAAGGCCGTTGCTAATTTATTTGTATTGATTCGTTTACTATGTTTGGATACGTCATGTTTCTTTCTTTATATTTTTGTATTATTTCGGGAAAGAATTATTGTACTTTCTATTGTATTTGTACGTATTTTCCCGTTTTTTAATTTCATTTATATAGTTAAATATATTTTTTTTATTTCACGAATGAAAAGAGGTTATTAAAATACTCAAATTAGTTGTACATGTGTTTTTACTTAAACTATAAATTTTCTATCGTTATCAACAAAACAACGAAAAATTATTGATAATACGTTATGTTCATATTTGGTGTTACTTCATATTATTATATGCTTAACAATCTGTTTATTTTTTTGTATGCTTAACCAAATCGAAGTGTACAACAGTTAATTTAATATGATTCAAAGTAAAAAGATTTGGTCGTTGGGTTCATTTTTATAAACAATGATCCAAGTTTTTCATCTTCCCAAATTTTAAATGATTGGATAGAGAAACAAAAATAACTACCCAGTTATGTACGAATTATATTTCTGTTGTAAATTATGTTATTATAACAACATAATAACATTATTTATTATTATGTATTAACTTTATTGAAAACTTCTTCTTGAATAAATATCATTAAAAACACTGCAAATAGACTCGTTTGTTCTTGATAAATATTCACATAATAAACCTCTTTTGTATCGAAATATTTTGTTCGATTAAAACATACATAACCACAAGGAAAAAAGAAAATAAACACCACCCAGTTACACAGTAAACTTAGAAATCCAATATGCCTTTTCAACATTCTTTTGTGATAAATTGTCGAGTACTTCAATATCCAAATCATCGTCCATTTTTTCTTCTTCTTTTTCGTCACATGGAAATTGGTCATCGACCCACAAAACACCTTCGTCCATCAGTCCCATCTATTTGTCATGAAACATGTTGGCCATTCATTTAAAATGTTTATAGAAACAAACACATGCAGCCTTTATTCTCTCGCGCGACCATCCAATTTGTGTTAATTCTTTATCAACAAAATACGGCTTATCTTCCAAAAGTCCAAGCAACAAAGTTTGATCCTCTCCAAATTCAAATGGTACACTCGTCACAAATTTCTTCCCATGGATTTCGACAATCTGTAATCCATTCCCAAGGCAGTTAGCAAATCGAATTGCGTCTGAAATGTCCGACCTTTTATGTAAATAATTTGATTCACTTTATGTCCAAAACCAAGTGATGACCACAAACGCTTTTATCTCTGTTCCTTGTAGATTTCTTTTCATATTCAAATTGGCGCACAACTGTTCTAATGCAATAAGTCCTCCATTTAATCCTCTTGATTTGTAACACTCTTCTATCACTTGTACAGTGAGTTCATTCAGAAATTGTGCATTCCCAAATAACACAGACAGCACTCCCTTTTGTGCTACAAGTCACCAACTCTATTTAATATCCCAAACAACAACAAACATCTTAAAGGATCAACTCCCATTCTCCTACACAGCCCAAAAAACTTCCCACGCAAATCAGGGTTTCTTTTAATTTCCTCTTGATGCTTCTCTGCAAACGACTCAAGTCCCTCTTTAAACATTTTCATCTGCTTCTGCATTTCCTCCATCTCAGTTCTGTTCAAATCCTTCCCAACCGACTTGATGCTGTTCTTTTTCCTCATGCGCATCTCTGCCGCCTTTTTCGACATTCAATTTATGGAGTTTTTGCAGTTCCAAACCTCAAAAATACAAAAAGTTAAGCACTCGTTTAAAATTACTTGTAATAGTTGGATGGAATTTCTTTGATGTCATCCGGCAACTCTGGCATCTTAAGCGAAAATCGGTTCTGAACTTCGTCCATGATCTTCTGATCATCCTCCGAGTCAACAAACGAAACGGCCAAACCCTTGGTTCCAAATCTCCCGGCTCTACCAACTCTGTGCAAAAATTGGTCAGAATCCTCTGGCATATCAAAGTTGACAACCAAGTTCACTCTTTCAATATCAATACCTCTTCCACACAAATCGGTGGCTACCAAAATTCTGCTTTCTCCCTTTCTGAATCTCTCAAACTCCTTCTCACGGAGCTCCTCTTCCATTTTCCCGTACAACACACCGCATGGGTATTCGCCCTTCTTCAACGTTTCAATAACAACTTTGCATCTCTCCTTTCCGTCAACAAAGATCATGCACTGATTGAAGTCGATATAGTCTAAAATGTCTGTCAGTTTGGCAACCTTCTGTTTGTCGTCGAGTTTTTTGTAATACAATTTAAGTCCGTGCAAGAACAATTTTTCTCCGTCATCAATAAAGACTTCAAGTGGGTTTCTCAGATACTTTCTGCAAATAACTTTGTTCGGCTCGCTGATTGTAGCCGAGAACATCATTGTTTGCTTTGTTTTGTTCGACTTCATAAAGAGAGTTGTCACATCAATTTGCGAGTTGGATGATAATACCTTGTCGCACTCGTCAATAACAAAAGTGTCCAACTGACTCAAGTCGAGAACACCCTTATTGAAGAGTCCCAATAACCTCCCTGGAGTTCCGATAACAATAGAAGGAGATCTATTCTTCAAATCCTCGGCATCGTCGGCCTCCGGAGTTCCTCCGATGTAACTTGCGGTGTTAATTTCCTTTTCAATAGCCGTCTCGAGTCTCTTTTTCATTCTGTCAAATTCCTTTTGGACTTGTTTGGCCAACTCGTGAGTGTGGCAGATAACCAAAGTGCTCACGCCCTTCTTTCCAATGAAAAGTCCCTGGTTCAATATGGTGATAACGAATACGGCGGTTTTACCCATACCAGACTTCGCTTGGCACAAAATGTCTTGACGGATCAACGCCTTTGGGATGACTTGCGACTGGACTTCAGACGGGTGCTCAAACCCGCAGTCAGTAATCGCTTGCATAATTTCTTTCTTCAACCCCATCTCTTGAAATGGAATGATACCGACATAATTGTCTTTGTTAGTTGTTTCCACCTTGATGGAGGCGGTCTCCATCGGAGTGTAACTTGGAATGTCAATTGTCATGTCGGCCATGTCGTTCTAATCTTTTGAGTTTCTTTTTCGTTAAACCCTTTTTCTCTTTTTGTTTTTTATTAGCATTCACCATTTTTTTGTTCCTTTATATATCGCAATTTTCCCGCTCTTTCTCATATCATTCACAATCACCTCTTTTCTTTTTTTGTAATCTGTTTATTTGTTAATATATCAAATTAATTAAATTGTTTTATTAATTGATTTCCCAAAACATTAATTGTGTAGTTTATTTTATTGTTATTTTATTATTTGTTTGAAACTAAATAATTCTTTTGGGATAAAAATAAGAAGAAAACATTTTGAGGTTTTTGCAAAAAGAGAAAAATTTTTGTTTTTTTAACATATTTCTTTCCATTTTTACTCCTTTTTTTTTAAGTTTTTTTATTATATTATTATATTATTATTAATTATTAATTATTAATTATTAATTATTAATTATTAATTATTAATTATTAATTTAATTATTATTTAAATAAATAAATAACTAGAAAAATCAATAGAGATAGAATTCATAAAAATACAGAAAGCACTAAAGGCCTAAGAAGCCACGGTTTATTCTTCCAAACTCCCTGGGTTCAACTTCTGGTTAGTGCGATTTTTTGTTTTTTTATTTTTTATTTTTTTGTTTTTTTTGTTTTATATTTTT